CAGACACATATACACACATATATTTATATATATATATATATACATATATATATGCATGTATGCATGTATATGTGTATGTATGTAAGTATGTATGTATATATATACCTATGTATATGTTTGATGTATATATTTATATATATATGTATGTTTGTAAGTATGTTTGAATATATCTTTGTGTATATAAATATATATTGATGTATATATCTATGTGTATGTTTATATATATTTATGTATCTGTGTCTGTATATGTATATGTATATGCAAATGTATACGGATATATATATATGTGTGTGTGGGTGTGTATGTATATACTCAAACATATACAAATACATACATATATATATATGTATATATATATATATATATATATATATATATGTATGTACATATATATATATATAATACATACATCATTATATTATATATATATATATATATATATTGTATATATATAACTGTACTTCAAGTATATATACATTCTATATGTAGTATGTATATTTATATATGTTATGTGGAAGTGTGTGTAGGTATGGATTTAGGTATGTAAGTGGGCATATGTATTTTGTATATTATACATTTCCACACACACACACATCTATATATATGTGTATATATCTATATACGTATATATATAAATATACACTATATATATATATATTTATATTTATGTATGTATGTATGAATATGTATACACATATATATATATATCGATATATATATATATGCATACGTATATATATATATATACCCATACCCATATCTGTATCTATATCTTTATATATATATATATACATGCGTTTATGAATGTTCTTTGCGATTCTCTATCAAATGCTGGCTTCTCTTTTATATTTGCGCAATATTTTCGAACTAATTCTTGCCATTAAATGTTGATGACTCATGAATGGATCGTGAGGAGCTGATTGCACTGGATATTAGGGAATATTGCATGTTTATTACCGTGCATATAGTTTTGATGTATAATGCGACCACATGGGTTTGAACTATCTCAGAGTTATAATTTGGTAGTCAACTTAAGCACATGAGACTTCATGAGTAGCCATATCAACTGTCGCTAGACTCCAAATAATGAGAGATCCACTTCAGATAATAGGGGTAACTAAAAATCATATATCAAGGATGGTAGGAGACACCATTGCTTCGTGAGCTCTGGGACTTCGTTCCATATATATATATATATATATATGAATGTATAAATATAGATTCACACACACCACACACACATATATATATATATATATATATATATATATATATATGTTGTGTGTGTGTGTGTATGTTATATATGTGTGGTCTATCTCGTATATAGTATTATATAGTT